GTGACGAACTGCTCATGACTGAAAGGCCTAGAACAGATGTATCTTTCAAGTTCTTACCAAGAAAACAGCTATGAAGAAAATGATGGGTCAAGAAGACCAGTGGAAGACTCCCTAGGAGAGAGCCATAGAAAATGTGCGCTTCGGAAGAGAGATATAATCAGAGAACTCAGAAAAGGAAAATATATCATGTATGCCCTCAGAAGGGTAAAAAGATTTTTATTCATGTGCATGAGATTACGCAAATAGATGATCAGCTATACCAGTGCCTTGAACGTGAGCAAAACTTGTGTGAACGCTTAGCTCTTATTATGTGTGAGAGATCCCACACTGGGGAGAAACCTTACAGATGTGATATGTGTGAGAAAACCTTCGTCCAAAGCTCAGAGCTGCTTTCACACCAGAGGGTCCACAATTACGAGAAACCTTATAAATGCAGCAAATGCGAGAAGAGCTTCTGGCATCACTTAGCCCTTTCGGGACACCAGAGGACACACGCAGGTAAAAAATTCTATACCTGTGACATCTGTGGCAAGAATTTCGGCCAGAGCTCCGACCTGCTTGTCCACCAGCGAAGCCATACAGGCGAGAAGCCGTATCTGTGTAGCGAGTGTGATAAATGCTTCAGTCGAAGCACGAACCTCATAAGGCACCGAAGAACTCACACGGGTGAGAAGCCGTTTAAGTGTCTGGAGTGTGAAAAGGCTTTTAGTGGGAAGTCAGACCTCATCAGCCACCAGAGAACTCATACTGGCGAAAGGCCCTATAAATGCAACAAGTGTGAGAAAAGTTACCGACACCGTTCAGCCTTCATTGTTCATAAAAGAGTTCACACTGGGGAGAAGCCCTATAAGTGTGGTGCCTGTGAGAAGTGCTTTGGCCAGAAATCAGACCTTATTGTACATCAGAGAGTCCATACGGGCGAGAAGCCGTATAAGTGCTTGGAGTGCATGAGAAGCTTTACGCGGAGCGCTAACCTGATCAGGCATCAGGCAACTCACACTCACACTTTCAAATGCCTCGAATATGAGAAAAGCTTCAGCTGTGGCTCAGACCTTATTGTGCATCAGAGAATTCACATGGACGAGAAACCACCCCAGTGGTCTACATGTGAGGGTGGCTTCCTCCTAGGCATGGACTTCGTGGCCCAACAGAAAATGCGAACTCAGACCGAAGAGCTGCGTTATAAGTACAGCGTGTGCGATAAAAGCTTCCACCAGAGCCCAGCCCTTCTGCAACATCAGACAATCCACATCGGTGAAAAACCGTATATCTGTAATATGGGTGACAAGGGTCTTGAGCTCAGCCCTCCCCATGCATCTGAAGCCTCACAGATGTCTTGATCAGACAAGGAGTTATAATCCCATAGAAGGTGTATGTACGTGTCCGAGAACTCCTAAGATAAAGGACTCTAGGCGAACCTCAGACTTTCCTCGGGGCTCAGACTTCCGTGGGGACCAGAGAATGCAACTGTGGGAAGTTGAGAAATGGTTTGCCCAGAGAGCTACCCTAGCAGGACACTTTTATCAGTCACTCGAGTGAGAAACCTTACAAATGCCCTGAGTTTTGGAAAACCCGTAGCCCAAGCTCATAGCTGATCACCCACGAGGGGATTCGTACAGGTGGGAGACCTTGCAAATGCAGTGAGTGTGAGAGAACTTTCTAGCGGTGCCCACCCCCCACCCCCATCCCACGAGAATTCACACCAGAGGACTTTCTAAATGCCCTCCGTGTCAACAGAGCTTCAGACAGTACACACATCGCATCGGATGTCAGAAAGCCCACAGTGGGGAGAAGCCCCAGCAAGTGTGTAAAAAGCTTCTAACAGAACTGTGACTTTTTTTACTCTTCAGAGAAGCCATACTGGTGAAAGTGTGTCTATTTGTCTTGAATGTGGCAAATCCATTCATTGGGAGAGCCTCCTTGGGTTTGCACCAAAGAAACCCAATCTGAGGAAGGACCTTACAGAGTCTCTGAATGAGAAAAACTTCTGTCAGTGATCCGCTCTTGTGGTATCCTGGGGCACTCACACAAGTGAAAAAGCCCCTGGAGTCTGAAAAAAGCCTTGTCAGAAACTCTCCTACCTTATCTGGTCCCAAAGAACGTACTCTGCAGAGAACTTTTTGCCAGTGAGAGATCGAATTGTGTGGACTGTGTACATATAATAGGTATGAAGAGAACTGTTCTCATAGTTAGTTGACCCATATGGTAGAGATGACTTTTAATGGAGTCAGTATGTAAACAGTTTTTAGATCCCCAGGAGCTCGTTCTGGGAGGAGTGAGGGCAGATCGTGGTAGGCCTCATGGGTAACTCAGGTAAAGATGCTTTTCTTTTATCTGAACCACTTAATGATTACTTTCGCTTTTTACAATTTGGAAATCCAATAAAGGAAAGGACCGTAACCTTGTGATAGAAGGTGTGACATGTGTTAACTGTTGGGGGAAAGGATTGTATTGACTTTGCCTCTGTCCCTTTTTTATTCTTGACCAGAATGGGGACTAGCGTGTCGATAGTAGCCTGGGAACCATTTGCTAGTAGTGAAAAGAACTGAACGGCCAGGGAGTAGTGACCCTAGATCGAAACTGTCCCCCCAGGTTCTTCCTTCGGAGGGCCAACCTCATAAAGAGGCAGAATAGTCAGCTTGTGTATTTTAGTGTGAGTTAAGGCATCCCCTCAAAAGTTTCCTTTCCCTGAAATACCTTTGAGATGATCGCTGGTTTTCGAAATCTCCGCTTTAGAGATTGATTTCTTTCCAACTCAGAAGTGCAAATTTCAGCAGAACCGTCATGACGTTGCTAGCGTGCACGTTGTTGGGACCTTGTCACGTCTCTTTCAGTGATGAGACCCACTCTTCAGATCCTCGCAGGCTGATTAAGGGAAACCAAAAGAAAGGTTTAAGCCTGAGCAGGCACAGAAAAGAACACATAATGATGCATTATTAATGGAGGAGCTAAACTTCTTGATTCTGATTATCCCGACTCCAAAGCTGGTGTTCTTTCCACTCTGTTACCCTGCTGTTGATAGCAGATCAAGCCCCATAATGATACGCTTTTCGTTTATTTCGGTTCTGCCAAGAAAAGAAAATACTTTTTATTCCCAGGGAAAGGATTGCAGTCACCACAACACAAGGTATCTGTTCGGCTTGGAACGTAGGATTCTAAATGCTACAAGGGAAAAGTAGTGGGCAGATTCATCAGAGGTTTAAGGATGAGCACGTATCTGCAATTTACCAGGATAATTACGATTATCTTTAACATTCTCTAGAAATACTATAATTAATCCAGGGGTTATTAACGGACAATTCTGAGGGGTTTTTTCCTTCTCTCAGATTAAAAGACATTTAATAGAAATCCTTAAGATTCCTCCAGTATTTGGGACTATAGACTGGTGAGTCAGTATGTTGTTGCTGGTCTGGGTTCTCTGGTTTATTCTAACAAATCCCCGAACTCCAGAGAGTGTTGGCATTCGGACTCATGGGTGGCCAGTGGCTACCTTGTGTGTGGCTCTAAGCTTTGATCCTAATGACTGGTTGATGATCCTGATAATCTTAGGGTCAGTGGATAGAGCATATAGTGATAATAAGGAATCTGATTCTAGGGGATTTTTTGTTTGTGTTTTCGTTTTTGCTTTTTTGTTTTTTTGTGTTTGAAAACAATTGCTGGAAGTTTATTCGATCTGATGTGTTTTAGTAATTTTCATACACAGCTCTTACACCATGAAAAGTGGCCCAGTGTGACAAAACACGCAAGATGTATTTGTTTCTCTTCGGTGCAAATCATGCCCGTCACCAGTATATGTTTGACAGTTGTAATACTTAAAATAGTATTGGGCGTATGGCCTGGTGGTGATGACAGTTAGTCCGTATGGCTACTTGTTAGTCATGAGAACTTGGAGAAGGGGACAGAGTTTGTATCGTCGCCAGGGCAGTGGCTCGCCCCTTCTTTCAACTAATCTTACCGGTAATTGTCTCTCGTCTTTAAGTAAGTTAAGGATGGACCATCCCTCAAAAGGAGAACATTAGGGGTATGAGACAGGTCCGAGGGTGAGGGCTTTTAACTGTGGGGAAAAAGTGTTGGTGTTGTTCGTAGAGCATAACCTGAGGTTGGAGAGGACCACTTGGGAGCCTGTAGCCAAAACTAGAAGGTAACTTCTGGGATGGATGGAGGTTCTCTTGAGACAGTGCCAAGCTAAATCTACCTCAGGTAAGTAGTTGGGGTACCTTTCAAGATTTCAGACCAAACGAGACACTTGTATTCAGTCAATGTATTCCTATGCTTTAATGTTTTTGTTTTCCCTTAATTCTTGAATAAACTTTTATTCTGAAAAACTCTGTTTTTGTCTCTGCTAAGAAAAGGCATTTCCCCTACACTTGGGTTAGAATAAAGCCGATCTGGAGGAATCCTTCCACAGTGGACACAGGTCAGATCCTTGCAACGCCCACGTGAGTATCTTAGAACGTTGCCAGCTCTACCTTAATTAAATACACAAAACAAAGGACTCAAGTTGACATTCACATGGCCCTTCGGCCTGGTAGAGGCGATCAGGGCCATCAGAGCAGCTCTAGAGTTCCAGGAGTTTTTGAGGCGAGAGCGGAGAAGTGAACGGAAACCTGGAAGGAGTATTGTCTCTGCTCTGCTGTGGATATCGGATCCTTCTGGAGCCTCTGCCGGGCATTACCTAAATAACACAGGAGGGTGTCACCGCTGAAACGGTCCATATTTGGGGCTAAAACTCAGTAACCGCAAAACATCGGTTTATGTGAGTCACCTGCAACGTCAAAATCAAGACAAATTTTGAATCTGAAGTTTGAATTTAGAATCCGCCCGGGGCGCAGTCCTACCTCTCCGTGTCGTTGGGGTGGCACCGAGTTTCCCCCCGTTGTCACGTGTGCCTCCGTTTGTATCTGTTTGCTCCCCTAATGGAATAGGTTTCGGGGTTTTGAGTGGCTTTTTCATTGCGAGGAAAGAAGAGGGAGGTATGACAGCCAGCGGACGAAAAGGGGAAGGGAAAATGGCCCAGCCTCGGCTGGTTTTCCTTCTGGCTTGCGGGTAGAGAGGTGTGCCCGACGAGGCCTGCGGCCCTCCTGCTGCTCTGTCCCCGGCCCGACATGCAGGTGGGCGGTGCTGAGACGAGCCTGGGGAAGCAGCCATTCCCCTTGCAAGTGACGGGGACAGAAGTGGTGTCTCGGGAAGTGGAAGAGCGAAGGTGCGTCCCAGCGCCCGCAGAGGCCGTAAGTGTTTGTCGAGAATAGTTCTTTTCTCCTTGAGGGAAAAAACAGCTTGCCACGCAGTAGAAGCTTGCTCGTTTCATGCTCCAGGCGACAGCTTTGGCCTCGCCTTCCAGTTGGGCTCTAGAAGCAGTGGGGCAAGCTGAAAGCCGTCCTTCCGTCCTGTCCGGCAGGGGAACCTTGGCGCGGAGGGGCTGCACCTGCTAAGGTCGAGTAACTGGCGGTTAAGGTCTAGGGAGGAAAGGAGAGGACCCGTGGGGTAGCTCCTGTTTATTATGTTCCGTGCCCATTTTGAGAAATCTCCGCAGCCCTCGCGTACCTTCACTCCTGGCTCAGAAGGTTGCCTTAACATATCTGAAAACGAGGAGGAGCCTTTGTATGAAATCCTAGGTGGACCTTCCTGGTTGAATCCAGCCCCCGTTCTAAACGGGGAGCCCCGACGTGCGGGCGGAGGACGTTGGAGCTGCTCGTGGTCGTTTTCGGGGGCGGCAAGGCCTTAGGGTTCGCCAGTGGGCGGTACAAACCCTGTGTTTCTGGCCGAGCGGGGGACTGACGGAGTTTGGAACAGTCGCCGCCGGCCTCCTCTGCCCTCCTCGGCGCCCCCATCGGATCACCTACAAGGAAAAAATCTGGCAGTCAGGGCCCTCCTGACCGCTTCAACACAAATCTTTTTATCTATCTCGCCTTTCTTCTCCCAGAGGAATAAATGTGCTGACTCCTTTAACCTGCCCAGCCCATGCTGCCACCGCCTCTGGAACCTACTTCGTTTGTCTTTTCTGTACGTTTTTAAAATTCATTTCCTTCATGGAGATTTTCCCTCATGTGTTCAAACATGTGCAGATGCCCTTTTGTACCCGGTTTAAAAAAGAAGAAAAGGTTTGGGTTGCCTTTAATCGGCTGGTGTTTTTTTTTTTTTTTTTTTTTTTTT